ACTAACAAAGGTGGAACATTCCTGTTGCAATGTTCTCAGGAAGTTTAGGGGATGTTCTTGAGAAGCATGGCATAGAATGTGTTGTAATAACAAAGGAAAAAAGTATTCAAGACCTCAGGAGAGTTTTTAAAAATAAAATGCTCCAGGAATGTGTTGTATTAACAAAGGTGGAACGTTCTGGCTGCAATGTTTTAAGGACGTTTAGGGCATGTTCTTGAGAAACCTGGTATAGAACATGCCCCTGTTCTCACAATGTTCTATGATAACAAGGAAAAAAGTATTCAAGACCTCAGGACACTTTTTAAAAAATAAAATACTCCAGTAATGTGTTGTGTTAACAAAGGTGGAACGTTCTGCCTGCAATGCATGTTTTTAGAACAATCTCCTGTCAGGCGTTCTTTATGCTTCCACGTTCCACATGAGCAAAGGAAGAATGCTTTAAAACCAACATTAAAAAAAAAAGTTCTCCAGATGTGATTGAGCCTAAAATAATTTTATTAAACGTTTTTGTTGTATGATATATTTACAAAAGTGGAACGTTCTGCCTGCGCTGGATGTTTTGGGGGCTGCAGGGTGGCGCGGTGGTTAGCACTGTTGCCTCGCAGCAAGAAAGTCGTCGGTTCGCATCCCAGTGAGGACACCCGGGATCTTTCTGCGTGGAGTTTGCATGTTCTCCCCGTGCAGCGTGGGTTCTCTCCAGGTTCTCCAGTGATTCTAAATTGTCCGTAGGTGTGAATGTGAGTGTGCTTGGTTGTCTGTCTCTAAGTGTAGCCCTGTGATAGACTGGTGACCTGTCCAGGGTGTCCCCTGCCTTCACCCTAAGTCAGCTGGGATAGACTCCAGCCCCCCATGACCCTAGTGAGGATTAAGTAGTGTATAGATAATGGATGGATGTGTTGGAGATGTTCTTGAGGGAGGACATTCTAGAATGTGCTCCTGTAAAGCACAATGTTCCGTGACAACAAAGGAAGAACATCCTCAAACCATTAGAAAAAATGTTTTCCAGATGTTATCGTAACCTCAGATGACAAAATGTTTTTTTTAGACAGAACATTATCCAACGTTCTTGTAGTGTGAGGTAGAACAATTTGAGGCAACAAATTCTAGAATGTTCTACAAAACGTTTCCACAGTGACGGACATTCTCAATGCATCATTCAAAAAATGTTTCCAGGAAGTTATTGAGACCTCAGATGACAGAACGTTATTGTTAGGACAAAGGTGGAACTTTTCGCCTGCAATGATGTTTTGGAGATGTTCTTGGAGGAACACATTATAGAATGTTGTTGAGGCCTCAGATAAGATCATTCATTATTGATCCACCACAGGGAAAGTTCAGGCATTGCAACAGCACAAGACAGTAATAATTAGTGATGGCCTCGCTGTCTTTGAACATGAAGGTCCTCTTCTCGATGTGAAGAACAGTTTTAGTCTTTTAGATGACAGACTGATGAGCAACGTTCATGTAATGTGATGTGCTAAAGATAGAACACAGTGTTTTATAGGATATTGTTGATGGAACAATAGTGTTTCACAGCGTTCTATGATAACAAAGGAAGAACGTTCTCAGGGTAACATTTAGTTTTGAGAGCTTTGGGGTGCAATGGTTCAGCATTTTTATAACGTCTTCAGCTATCCTACATTCTGGGAAGTAAGAAAAAACTTTCCCTTGAAAACATTAGTTGAACTTTGCAGAAGTTTCTCTGAAGGTTTTTTTTAAAGCAGTAAATCTTGATTAGAGCTCCAAACATGAATCGATTAACTTAATCACCAACTGTTTTGCTTAACGGTTAGTCAGTTTAATTGTTTAAAGGGAGAAAAAGTCCAAATTCTCTGATTGCAGCTTCTTAAAAGTGAATATTTTCTGGTTTCTTTCTTCCTCTGTGACATTAAACTGAAGATCTTTAGTTTGTGGATGCAACAAGACAACGATCAACACTTTTCACTGCTTTCTGGCAATTTATCGACCAAACAAGTAATCAGTTAATCGAAAAAAGTAACCAACAAATTACGACACGGCGGTGAAAATGATCAGTTGAGAAACTGTCTGAATAAAATAAATGTTCTTGTGTTCAGTCTATAAAATAAAAAAAATCCAGTATTATCCTCAAGTAATATTAAAAAGGACAGAAACCTTTTTTTTTATAAACCTTATGACACAGTCTGTGATGCACCAAGTGTATCATGTAAAACATTATAACGCTGTTTATTTCAGAAACCTTGTTCAGTATTAAATCCAGGAGTCATTTGATTAGACTACAGCCGGATTACAGGCTTAAAAAAAATCATTGAATTATATCCTAATTGTATCGTTTCCATTAAAATAAATCCACGTGCAATCATTAGGTGTGACTTTGTACCTAATAGTGGATTAGCCTGAGAACAAGCTCTATTAGAATGAAGCTGATGAGATAAAGTGAAACCATCAGCGCCGTTGCATGAAGCAAACGTGAAGCCAGCAGCAGACGGAGGCGTCTTATCACAAGACGAGAAGTGATCTGCAGATAACCTCCTTTATGTGCTAAAAAAAAACAAACATATCACAATCATAATTAACATTATGTTTAATGTGATGCCTACTCACTGAGGCCCAAAGGTGAATCCTCCCTCTGCTCATCAGTCACAGCTACACTGTAAAAACAATTCAGGAAAAATGTGAAAATCTGGAGGCAAAGATGCCCAAAAATATGTTGCAAAAAATAATTTTAAAAAAAAGGTAGAACATCGTAACATTCAAAACTGTAAAAGAAAATGTAAAAATGTTGAAAATACCAGCGAATATCTGTAAAATAGTATATTTTTTTTAGATTTACATACAGTAAATTGGTGTAATAAATTCAAATAATAAATTGTACAACAACTAATTACTATTTGTAGAAATAAAATTTTTTTTTTTTTAATATGGACATTAGTGATTTCACTAGATATTATCTGTAATTTAACGAAAACATGGAAAAATCTGTCAAATAGCACTTAAAAAGTAATTTATCTTTTTTGAAACCATAATATACATAATTTGTCTTTCAAATAATAGTAAACATATTTGAAGTGATAGCATATTTGCTGATTTATATACAGGAAAATAAATTGTATAATTTTATTTTCAAATGTTGTAAAATTTCTCAATTATCGTTTGCATTTTTTTATGTGGACATTGTGTGAAGTTTTGGCCACTTTGTTTTTGACAGTCAACATTTAAATTATCACTTTTAAAAAATAATTTCACTAGTATTATTTGTAATTTATCAAAACAGAAAATTAACTGCAACAAAACACCTCTTTCACTCCTGAATATACGTAGTTTTTCATTCAAACAAAGGCAGAAATCAGTTTTTAAAAAAAGAAGAAAAAAAAAAAAGAATAATAAAAGATATAGTGGCTCATTAAAATAGTATAAGAAAACATGTGATTATATACTCAAATGTAAAAGAACAAGTTACTATTTGTAAAAAAAAAAAAAAAAACAACAACAAAAAAACAAAACACTTGATGTGGATATCATTCATAGTTTTGGCCTCTTTTTTATGATTAACATGTAAATTCCTATTTTTTTGTGGTTTCACTGGACATCTGTAATTTAACAAAACAGGAACAATCTGTAAAATAACATTACAGTTAAACATATTACTTTTTAACAGTGTGTGCAGGTGTTTTATGTAGAATAGATGTTACTAAATGTGCAGAGGCTGTAAAAAACACACTGACACATCTGGTAGACTGTTTATCTGCTGCTACTTGCAGCAAAGTTAATCCGTTTCTACACATCAGCTCACATACCTGTGTGTAGATGGAGGCCAGTGATAACATCCAAACACACAGCCGAGGCAGGAGCATCAATCATAAGGGCAAACTTTATTCCTCAGAGGGGTCACGGGATGGAAAAGCATTCAGGGATTTTACCGACAAACTGAGGTGACCTTTCTGAGCGATCCTACCGAGGCTCCATAAATCTGCTTCATTACTGGGTCATAAATATGCGCTGAGCTGCTGCTGCTGCTGCTCTGTTGTGGTGCAACGATGCTGCTGCTGCTGCTGCTGTTAATGCTGCATTTGCTGCATCTGCTGCTGCTGCTGCTGCTGCTGTCAGTGCGGCTGCATCTGTTGTTGTTGTTAATGACACACACACGGCTTCCTATGTTGGGCCACAAATTCTGACTTTTAACAGTTTCTTGTCAGAAAAGTTGCAGTTTCACCTTCAGCTCTTTTGACTCTGTGTCTGTTTTAATGATGAAACAAATCAAACTGTGCAGACAAACAGTCATGTGGACTTAATGACCGACGTTAATGAAAGTCAGTGGATGACGGGCATCTAAAAGACGAAAAATCCACTGTTAGAAAAAAAGAGCATTGCTGAGTTTGCTGTGTCTGTCAGCTCCAGGAAATGTAATGTTTTCATTAATAATAGCTTTAAAAGGTTACAACTAGCAGAGAGAGGAGGACACTAATCATCTAAAAAATGGTGGATTTCTGCTGTTTGTCGACACTGAAATGATTAAAGAAGGAATGTATTGATCACACACATTTTTCAATGTTTTATATTTTATAATGTTTTTGCTACGTAATCTTTTGATTTGGGACGTTTAGTCAAGATGAGAACTTAGTGGATGTTTTCTATTAATAGAATTCAATGAAAGTACGACATGAAGAGAAGCAAAGGGCTCATTTTCCACTACAATATAAAGTCCTGCACCTCAAACCCAAACCCACAACCATGAATACAAGTAGAGAGACCTCAACACATGTCTGTTGTGCTGTGTGACAAAGTTAGCATGCAAGAAATCATAAAAAAGAAAAACAAATACACAGGAATTGATTATTCATGAAAAAAATGGAATCAAACTGTGCAAAATTTTGCCCACAAGTGTTGGTGACACTGGAAACAATATCAGTGACTCTGTATACTATAGATGTTGTGCTTGTGTTTTTCAGATAAATAAAAATCACAGAATTTTTGTTAAGTGACCGTTTGTTGCACCAGAGTCTCGAATGGCTTCACGTTTGTGCAAAATTACACAGAATTTTTGCTTTTTTTCAGAATCTGGAGAGAGCGAATACTTTCTTTTTGGCAAACTTTTGAAACAAGACTTATAGAATAAAGTCATTTTTATGAAACATCAGGATTCCTTTGGTTTTTACACTTTGTGGTTCTGATAAATGTCTAATTTTGGTGATTTTTTTTAAAAAGACAACATGCTTTTTAAACCTGCTGGCCAGTTTAAGGGTTCAGAGGTTAACTGTACTTAATTCAGTCTTGATATAAACAGTTGTCTCGTGTGTTTGTGCTTCCATCCCCCAGATGTGGCCGTGATCTCCCCTCAGGATCCGGTCCTGCGTATCGGCTCCAGTCTGACGGCCACGTGCTCGCTGAGCCCCGAGCTCGGCCTCCACGCCTCCACGCTGTTCTGGACGCTGAACGGTCTGCGTCTGTCCAGCGGCAGCTACAGCGTGGTGTCCTCCGGCGTCCTGAGCGTCACCCTGCACAACCTGAACGGGTCCCAGCAGCAGTCCGGAGACAACCTGGTGTGTCACGGAGCAGATGGACACGTCCTGGCCGGCTCCTGTCTCTACGTGGGCAGTAAGTGGAAGCTTTTGAGTCATTCTGGGACGTCTGACTTTATTCTGTTTCACGTGGTGACGACTAACAGGGCTTCATAGAGGTGGAAGTGTGAATGCAACATGGTAAAGAATGAATGAAAGTACACTCGAGATGCAGTTATGAAGCAGTGTGCTGCAGGAATGAGCTCATTAGTGTTTGAAAGCAGCAGGACTGACTTTAGTTTTACTTATAGCTGTATTTATATAGCACCTTTTTAAAAGAACAGCGCTAACAAAGTGCTTTACAGACAAAATGAAAAAGATTTTTTTTAAAAAAAAGGAAACTCAGGAGGACCGTCAACCAGAGGTGGACAAATGGAGTTAAACATGGTCAAATATATTCAGATTAATCAACAGAACATCACCTGATAAAACAATAAAAGAACCAAAATGCCAAATCCAAGTAAGAAAAACAATCTAATGGAATAATAGAAAAAAGGAAAAAAATCCAGAGGGTAAAACCATAAATAACACTTGTTTTTATTTTATTTTATTTTATTTTATTTTATTTATTTTGTGACAAATAAAGCTTATCTTGAATCTTAAAAACAAAGCTAGAATTAATAATAATATTAATAGTAAGTAAATAACAGGTAAAATAAACATAACATTTTATATAAATTAGACAATAAATATATAAATAGAAGCAATTTGTGGTCTGTTAACATACTTGAGAAATTCATGTAAACTGTGTGTTTTCAACTTTTTAAAAAATATGTTTTTACATCCTTGAATTAAACCCAGCAGGTTCTTAACCATGCTACACACACATACATGATATTAAAGGATCATGAGTATCCTAATAACCCAATTCTGAAAACAAGTAAAGTCAAAGTAAATGTGATGAGCTAAGATGCAGCTTTATTTTGGTAAGACATTCAAATTTATGTTAAAGAATCAAATAAATAAAAGATTTAAAGATAAATAAACTAAAGCATAGACAAGTTTAAACCAGGACTTGTAGCCTGCATGTGGATCTTACATGAAGGTGACACATGAATTAAAAGCTGTGGGACAATCACAGGCTTAAACTTTAAACGTGACGACATTTGGAGCAGCTCGAACTTAGAAGATCAGTCCAGCAGCATAACGACTAAAAGCTGCTCCACTGTGTTTGGTTTGAACTCTGAGCTTCACTGACTGACCAGCTGCTGCAGATCTGAGACCTTCCAGGCTTCAGCATCTCTGAGATATAACGAGCCCCGAACACTCAGACACTTACAGAGAACAAGTAGAGCCTGAAATTACTTTTTTTTTTTTTTTATGACTGGAAGCCAGCGCAGGGATCTAAGAGCTGGACTGATCTCTTTGTGGCATTTTCCAGTGTTCTAGGATGAGTTGCAAACGTCCGATGGTCTTATCAGGGAGGACAGTACGGAGTGCGTTACAGTGGAAGAAATAAACACATAAATGAGCTTTTCTACGTCTTGCTTGGACATGAAGTTCCTCCTTTTAGCTGTTTTTAATAATCTTAAATGACTTTAGTTACGGCTTTAATGTGGCTGCTGAAATGTAGATCTTCCTCAGTGATTACACTCAAGATGAACGCCAGCCTTCCTTCATTATTATAATAAAAATAATAGTAATAATAAGTCAGTTTTGTCACATCCAGTTGTTCTCAAAGTGCTCACACAGCAAGTTGAACAATAAACAACCCCACAGCAGGTACCGACTGTCTGAACACGGAATACACTATTTAAATTCTTCAATGTGAATTAAAAAAACATGTTTGCGCCTCTCCTGACTTCATATCTCTTTTGGATTTTAATTGACAAAAATCATTTAAAAGAGGGAGCGCAACACCTTTATAGATTTCACCCTCCCAACACAACACCTGAACTTCTTATGGACAAAATTGTTTGTTTAAATATTTAAAGGGCCATGATGACAAGTGTGTGACGCATCCTAATTCTCCCACATCTGATCATCATCTGCCTATCTGAAGGCTTGAAGAAATAAGTATTATGCTGGATTTAACTTGTCTCAGGTTTTGATTTCAGCACGAGTTCCCCAGTTTGTCCCTTTAAATGTCATTTGTTTCTGTTGCTCTTTTTTTTTTTTCTGAAGTGCCTCCTGAGAAGCCGGTCAACTTGTCGTGTTTGTCCCGCAACACCAAGGACCTGAGCTGCAGGTGGAGCGTCGGCGGGCCGGGAGAGACCCACATCCGAACCAAATACACCCTCAAGTACAAACTGAGGTGAGCGTCTCCAGGCCATCAGCTCGACCCTCAGGTAGACCAGCAGCAAACGCTGTCGGTGTATTCAGCAACATAAACTACACTCACAGGCTGCAGGAGGCCGGTTTTAGTTTCTTTATTGTGTGCAAATAAGAATCTGTTGGCCTTTTCATTGGCTGGTTAGCACTGTTGCCTCACAGCAGGAACGTTGCTGGTTCACGTCCCAGTGTGGACACCCGGGATCTTTCTGCGTGGAGTTTGCATGTTCGCCCCGTGCAGCGTGGGTTCTCTCATAAGGTCCAAAAACATGTTGAGGTTAATTGGTGATTCTAAATTGTCCATAGGTGTGAATGTGAGTGTGCTTGGTTGTCTGTCTCTAAGTGTAGCCCTGTGATAGACTGGTGACCTGTCCAGGGTGTCCCCTGCCTTCACCCTGAGTCAGCTGGGATAGACTCCAGCCCCCCGTGACCCTAGTGAGGATTACATGGTGTATAGATGATGGATGGATGGATGGATGGATGGATGGCCTTTTTCAGAAAGTTTAATGCTGTGGTTGTGTTTGCTTCCAGGTGGCATGGGAAAGAGAAGGAGTGTGAGGATTACGGCTCGGGGGAGCAGCGCTACTCCTGCTACATCCCCCACAACATCGCCCTCTTCACCCCGTACGAGATCTGGGTGGAGGCCACCAATCAGCTGGGCTCGGCCACCTCTGACATCACCACGCTGGACATCCTCGATGTAGGCGAGTGAGGGGAGATTGTCTCAAGATTCTTTGTTTCGCCTCCTTAACACATCTCTTTCCACTTTCCTCTCCTCATGTTCTACGTTTGTTTGCGTGCAAATCTGCTGCATATGGCTCACACACTTCTCCTGCAGAGAGGGGATTTATGTTTAATGGCTCGCTCCGTCCAAGCCGCCAGGTTGCTGCTCCAGCGTTATTATGTGTTCAGGCCGCTGCTCTCCGACATAAACTGCTCTGTCGTAAAAGTTAACTGCACGGCAGATGCCTCTCAGGTGATGGCTTCACAGGTTTCTCAAATAGGTTGGTGATGTTCCTCCGGTTTTTATCCTGCCCTCGTGTCGGAGCAAAGCCTCGCGGCCCGCAGCGAATCTTAAACGCGGCGGTTTATTATGTGCAACTGAGCGTCCTCCGACCGCTAATCGTCACTGAGGAGCGGATATCTGGGAGGCTGTGAGTGGGTTGCAGGAGAAGGAGGCGATGCCGCATGTATGATGCATTGCGCTGCCACAGTAACAACAACAATAAGCTCTGAGAATATTTGTTCTGGCTTTAGCTTTCCACTTTTTTTTCCCCCTTGAGCTGAAGTGCGTCAGCTGACAAACGGCGTCACATACCAGAGGTCACAAACAGGAAGGCCTTTTACGAGACCTTTAATAAGTTCCTTCCTTTGTCTCTCGTGCTGCCGTCCTCTTTATCTTCTCCTCCGTCTTCCTCTTCTTCAAAGCCACTTTAATGCGGTAGGTAGGTAGGTAAATGTTTTACTTAATGCCGACGGAGGGGAACAGCTGCTCTCATAGGAAGCTCAGACCGACCTGAACCGAAGCCTGCAGCCAGCTGGGCAGCAGGTGACGATCCACCGAAACCAAGTGTTTACACACACACATATATATTTATATATTCAAAGGTAGATGCTTGGATGTTCCTCTTGCTGATTATTCTAATGGCAAGTTATAACCTCCATACATATGGCACGAACATGTTCAAAAGACTTCTGGAAAATAATTCATTCCTTTGCTTCATCAAGTGCTTTAATTCTGGTTTGCTGTTCTACAGTTGCTATCATGTAAATGGACAAGACTGCACTAATAAGGAATGATGTCGTGGAATCGCTGCCATGACTCTCATTACCTTAAATAATAAACCAAACACTTTGCTTGATCATTGTTAAATCCATTCCTTTGCAAATCCGCAATTCCCAGAAAACAAAAAGAGCAGCAGCTTATTTGTAACATGACAGCGAGCACAGAACTCCTTCCCCGCCGGTTTGTTGGCTCCATATGGTTTGATTTCTGTACCGTATAAGAAACACTGTGTTCCAAGTCGTTTCCTTTTTTTGCTTTCCATACGTGCTGCAGCTGCCCTTCCAAAGTGTTTCAAGCAGTATGCAAACAATCGGGACTTCAGCCTGTGGTGTGAAATGAGCCGTCATCTGTTTCTGCAGCTTGTTTATGGGATGTAACTGTGCTGAGGATTGTGGGTCAGAATGGCCGGAAAGGCATGGCGGCCTGCACGCTGCACAATCTGACAGTCAGGTGGAGTCGGACATCCAGGTGTTTTCTGGCAAACTGTAGATAGTATGATGATATGGACATTGGAACAAACCCGAATCCCTCTGGAGCTTCTTCACCTGAGATCACAGTCACATGTCCCAACAGTGAAATCAGTGACCATCCTGGAACCCTAAACGTGCAAATATGTTGTTTCTCTGAAGTTAGGTAAACATATGACCAATTAAAAACACTTATAATAAATTAAAAACCTAGGATCTTACAGGTGATTTTACTTTCACAGTGGCTGCTTCCATGTGTTTTTTGGTCTCTCAAAGGTTCTACAGTAAGAATAAAAGGTGCTATAAATGCAAATCTAACTTTATTGAAGGCTGATGATGAACGTCACAACATAGGTGTATCCTCAGTATCATACCAGTCTGTATGCGGTTTCATTTACAGTATTTAATGGCAGGTGCTTTCACGGTTATTGTTTTGCCAGACTGGAGAAATATATTTTAAACAAACAGCTTAAAAAATCCTGAATCCTACATTTCCCAAAAGTCCTCTTTTTCCATCTGTTTTTAATCAGATGTTCTTCTTCTAATTTACTAGTTTATGCTGAAATATGTCAAGATTTGTATTTACATAGTCATTGGGAATCAGCTGATCCTCAGAGCCTTTTAACTTAATTGATCACAATTGATAATTGATCAACAAAAGCACTTTTGAACTTGAATAGTATAAAACTGCATAAGAGACTCACACCTAACCTTCCTTATTTTAAATTTCCAGGATCAACTGCTTGATTTAAATGACATAAAATGATCATCTTGCGCTGGATTTTAATATTTTTTTAATTCTAAATGCCGTTTGGTGGTTATTTTCTAACTGAAGTGTGAGTAGAGTTGAGTTTATCAAGACGAATATATGTGTAAGAGAGTGTCTTATTTAAGAAGCGTTGTGTCGTAAGAAGCTTGTCTGTGTTTTTTAATACTATTCACTGTGTGTTTCAGCTCCTTCTTTGTCATTCAGACCTGCTGTATCTTTGCTCTTTGTTCTGTTCACCTGCTGTATTCTCACTCTGTAACGCTGGTCTTTATCCGTGCAGTGACCACAGATCCTCCCGCCAACGTGCAGGTGAGTCGCGTCGGCGACCTGGACGACCAGCTGACGGTGCGCTGGTCCAGCCCCCCCGAGCTCAAGGACATCCTGTTTCAGGCCAAGTACCAGATCCGCTACAGGCTGGAGGACAGCGCCGACTGGAAGGTGCCGCACACGTTCAGACAGCCACATATAAACCTGCAGAACAGCCAGCAAACGTTCTGTGTGCAGGAATAGTTCAGCTGCAGCACAGACTGATCCATTAAATGATGAACACTAAAGTTTTCCTCTCCCCTCTTGCTTGTACTTTCATTATAAAGCAAAGCTTACTCCTGCATAAAACCCTCGACTGCCGCGAGCGATTTATAGCTGGTAAATTTTGAAACGTGGCTTTGATCCAAAGTGCAGAAGTGGAGCTTTTAGAAACTGTTACTCCTTCAAACTGTTTCTTTGATGTTTCTCTAGCCAAAGCTTCTTATTATTTCTGTGCTCCGTATGTACGTAGAGCATGACTCTGAATTCTGGATGCTCTATTGAATGAGAGGATTAAGCAAATAATATCTAAATGCATTTGAAGCCACTAATATCCAGACTACGTTCAAGAGGAAAAGCAGAACAAAGTCAGAAAAAGTGATTATAAAATCTCCCTTTTAATCTGTGCCACAGATTTATGTAGAATTGTGCAAACATTTTCAGGGACTAAAAGTAAAGTGAGGATGCTTTCAAAGCTAATGCCGTAATATTTTATTTTTCTGTTGCGAGGCAGCCTGGCAGTGGAATTAGGAGGAACAAGTAAACAGCCAGATGGTTGAACCAGAGTTGACTGTGATTTTAATGAATAATAGTTTTTTTTGTGATAACAAAAACAAATTCAGCGCAAAAGGAGGAACGAAGGGCCGTGGAGGCTCCTCAAAACAGAAATTAATATGAACAAAAAGACGACTTGTAACTAGAATTTTTTTTAACCTGCCTACTTGATCAACAAAAGATAATCAAGGGGCTTCTGCTCCACTTTCTCTGGTTTGTTTTAAACTTTATCGTTAACTATGAAGATTTAAATCTGATGTTTCAGCTTGATATATAAAATACTTTCTAAAATATACTATTGAAAACTGCCCATTAACCCGTTTTCAACATGTTTTTTTTGCACATTAAAATTCGACATTATGTTTAACAATATGTCAGGAACTGTTAAAGATAAAAGCATAAAATCTTTGCTGTTATTTCTCATCGTACGATTGATTTAGAATCTCCAAAATTAGACAAGTCGACGCAGTAATCTTTGATTATGGGTAAGTTGAAATGTCTGAAGCTCATATTTGTCAACTGGTGATATTTTCTGAACCACATGCAGCTACATGTCGTAATAACACAAAACCAAACACATAGTACACTTTTTAATATGAATGCCTTTGCTTTCATGGCACAAGTACAACAAAATTAGATTATTACCCTTTTACAGGGCACAGATTGTAAAAAATAAATTTTATATATACAAGAATAAAGTAAGATAGTAGAAAATACTAATATATAATAAGAAAAACTTTATTTTTAACTCATTTACTTGTGTTGAGCTTTCATAACTGAGCAACGCCAAGTTTTACCATAAAAATCTAAATATTGGTAGATAGCCTGATCCAAATAAAAC